CTCACAAGGCCAGTCCTACTGCACCCATCCTGGGAAGAGAAGGAACTCTGGGAGCAAAACCATCCCCTGACCCTAATACTCCATTCTCTCTGCTTCTCTGTCTCACTAAGAGGCACTGTCTTCCCTTTCTGCATACAGCCAGCCAGGCTGCAGCTTATTAATTTGGGATAGTATGTTTCACACTTTTGCCATCAAAATCAGATTTCCAGGAAACTAAGAGCACAGTTACTGGTAGCTGGGCCAGTACTCGCCACCCCAACCCCCAGGCCTAGGACAGACACATTCTTGGCCTTTATTGTGCTGCCTGAGAGGGAGTGGTCTATCCCACCACAGAGATGGGGAAGGCGCTCTGGGCTGCCGAATGTACTAGAACTCCAGGCATTCATATTTTCTTACTTAGCTCAGGGACTCCAGCAGCAGCCACCACTGCCTTGTAACAGGGAAAGCTACGAGTGGTCTGGATATCAACGGCAGGAGAAGGCAGTCTCTGTTTCACAGCAAATGAAACCCCTTGGGGGGAGAAAGTGGGCAGCAAAGGTGCCCCGCCTTCCATCCAACCCCAGGATGATGCCAGTGCTGGAAAGGACGGAGGAATGCATGGGCACCAACATGGGTTGGCGGAGGTATGGGGGTGGCACTGCTATACTTCTCTGCTGCTTGTCCATTCACTCCAACACCAGGCAGAATGTCAGGTTTGTACCCAGGCCCGAGAGCCAGGTCTGACAAGTGGGCTTGGGTCCAAAACCACAGCCCCTCCTGAACCCCAGGCATCAGGCAGCCCAAGCCCTGGAGCCCCCTCAGAAAACAGCCAGCCACCTGCCAGTAGACATGGGCCCCTGTACCTTCCTCTGCTGGTTCTGTCCCTCTAATTTGACCTCTAGGATAGGGAACAACTGAAAGCCATGTGTCCTGAGGACAATATCTAATTTGCCCCAAGAACATGTAGGGCAACTGCACGCAGAGCCAAGATGCCCCCTGCCCTGTCCTCCACTGCCTCTTCCCAGGCCCAGTTCTTATAGGAGCTCTGACGGTTCAAATGGCTCCAAAAGAAGCCAACAGAGTGCCCCAGCTCTACCACGAGGGCATGGAGACCCTGGGAGGGTGTCTCTTCCCCAGTCAGATGTGTCTCCCTCCTGCCTGCATAGCTTCGCATCTGGTTGTCTGGCAAAGCTTTTGCCTTCGGGGCCATGCCTGGGGATCCTGACACTCAAGCTGGCAGCACAGAGGCAGGAAGACTGGGGAGGCTGCAAGGGACACACAGAGGCCAGCTGGCCCTCAGGCCCTTTGCTCTATCATCCTGCAGCTGCGTGCCTCTGGTAGCTGGACTTGAGCCACAGAGACATTCGTGGTAGTTACTGCCCCAAATATAATATATGCTTCCACCTAGCCCATCCGAGGGCTCAAAACGCAAAGATATCCACCCTCTCTGTCATCACTGGTGTTGGAATTTGGATCTTGTTCCCCCTACCTTTACTGGCCAATGACCAAAGTCTGCATCCTCACCCAATCTTGGGCTGTTAGCATCAACAAGATAATGCGCTCAAAGCACCCACTGCCCTCCCTGCCATCCAAGGTTTTTGACACAAGTCAGACCCTGGGTTCCCAGGCTCCATCCAGTCTCCCTCCTCCTTGGCCCTGAGCTCATCTCCTGATTGCCATCCTCTCTGTTCCTATCATGGTCAGTCTTTTAGCATGTGCTCCCTGGGCTGCCAATGCTTCCCATCAGCCCTGCAGTTGTGACCCACTGCAGTCAAGACCCCAAGCAAACCTTCCCAAGGTGGGCACACATAGCATGGTCTGATGCCCAAGACGGAGGGCGGGCAGGCAGACTCACCTCCTGGGGGAGAGGGCAGAGCTGTGGCTCTGCAGGTGGTGCTCACATGTGCCCTGAGAGCTGCACGGGCATCTCTTGCTCAGCTCCCGTTTCTCTTCGGCATGGCTCAGCAAGGAGGCTACTGGCCGTTTTTACAAGACAGGGAGATACCACTCTGACAGAGACCTTGAGCCCCACTTGGGTGAGGGCTCTCAATTCCTGCTTCAAGAGGGACTAGGTACTCCCTGGAGAGCCCGCTTCTTGGGGAAGTATCAAGATTGAGGGGGTGACAACGGAAGTGACAGATGGTGCTGGGGATAAAGCAGAGATGGGGGTAAGTGACTGGCTGGGAAGAACGCCAATGTGAGGCTGCGTGCTGCACGTTTCTTCCTCTCCCACTCAGCTTCACTTTCCCCAAGCCCTAAAGGGTTGCTCACCACGGGGCCTGAACCTATGAGATTCTGGCAGGAGAAAATACCGGAGCTGGCCCTCGGGGAAGGAAGGGCTGAGCCCCAGAGTCAAGATTCCAGTTAGGAGGAGGGGCACAGCAAGAGTAGACAGGAGTCTGGCTGCCCAAGGAGGGCAAGGGGCAACACACCCTCCCCAGAGGGCTGTTCCACACACCCACACACAGGGGATGCCCACCCTCACCCCAATACTGATCTAGGGTGGAGCAGAGCCCAGTCAGGATGCCAAGGCTGTTAGCCTGTGGTGTGTACACCATGCTATGTGAGGATATAGGAACCCAGCACACATCCATCTCAAAGTACAACTCTGTATGCTGTCTAAGCTCCAGGTCAGGAAAATTCTCAGGACTGCAGGGCTAGTCTGACCACTGAGCTGGCCAGAGGGATAGTGTAGACCTGTCACGGCTCCATCACATCCTGGGGCTTGCAAGACACCTCAGCATATTTCCAAACATGCCACGGACTGCAATTAACCCTCCATAAACTCTTTGAGGAACCAGTGTGGCTCTGCCCATTTTACAGCAAGATAAAGGCAGAAATGATTTTCCCAAGATGACAAGCCAGGAGGGGTGAATGGAGTCCGGACTTAAATTCAGGCCAAACTCCACCCAAGGTCTCCACCCAAATCCAACCCTATCCAAGTCCTCCCAGCAGGCTGACAGCCCAAAGTGCAGAGGGTGTGGAAGGAGTCCATCCCTCCAGCTGAAGCTGGCATAGCAACCAAGGCCCTGCGCTCAGGCTCTACACCCGTGCCTGAGTCAGTACCCTCTCTGTGCCCTGGCCACCCCGCAGCTAATACCCAAACTCCTCACAGGAATGGTCCAAGAGCAAACACAGGACCCCAGGGGAAGGCTTGTCCAGCCCACAGCCTGGCCTCTCAACTAACCCTCTGAGGACCATATCTGGATGAGCAGCGATGGAAGCCCTACAGAGAGTGCCATGAACAGGGCAGATGCATCCTCTGCTCCCTTCTTACATAGGGCGCCAGTCCTCACATCCACGTGGACAATAGGTAGCATATATTATTCATTGTGTCCTTATCATGTGCCAGACACAGCTCTGAGTACCTCCCCCGGATTCTCTTGTTGAATCCTCACAGTACCCCTATGAGGGAGGTAATATTTCTATCCCATTATACACATGAGAGCACCAAGGGGTTAAATAACCTGCCCAAGGTCACATGGCCAACAAGGAGTGTCTAGGATTCCTATCAGGCTGTCTGATTCTGGTTTCTCTACATACCTCTCCCACCTGCAAGATCAACTGTTAAACCTCCGGCCACGAACAAGACCCAGACATAACTTTCTGGTCAGCTGGGCACAGAAAATGCACACAGACACACAAGCAGAGACGCCTAGGCACTCACGGGTCTCTTGGCCTCCAGTTAATCAGCAGGTCTGTTAAGATTCAGGCACTGCCCTCCTCCGGTACATAAATTCCAATTTATAATACCGGGCGAAGTGAATCTCTGAGTAGCCCAGCCTCTGAATCTGTTCCTTATGTATTTAAACTTACTTAACTGACATACGGACCCCCTCCCCAATGGGAATAAAACACCCAAGTCTAGAAATTATGAAACCAAGAGCTCCTGCTTTAGTCATGCACATTTCCAAAGTAGACCAAGAAATGTATTTTCAGATTAAAGGGAAAATTTACATATATAAATTCGGATGACAGTATTTATAGCATTAATTACATAAGTTCTGGCTCCCTTATTTAGCCCCAGAACCAATTCGTTATCGTTCACATATTCAGAGTTCCCCCCTCCCTCCAACAGCCCTGGGCCTCCCTTCTCCTCCTCCTCCTTCTCCCCCTCCTCCCCCTTCCAGCCGACCAGGGCCTCACATGCTGGCAAGAGGACACAGCTTCCTTCACTGTCACAGCCTAGCCTTCCAGACACACCCAGATCCAGCCTTAAACAGCAGGGGACGTCCAGACACAATCCCCCAAAGGCCTCCCTCCCCCAAGTGAATTATGAAATCTTGAGTAAGTTGGCTATCGGCAGGTTCGGGCCCAGTGAGACCCCTGCAGGGACCACCAGGGACGTCAACCTTCTGAGGACCTGGACTGGGGCCCAGATAAACGCCCACTGGGCTGAGTCTGGAATCCCTCCAGCTCCTGGCGAATGGCTGCCGCAGACCCGACCACTGAGGCCTGACCTGCCTGGAGTCGCACCCAGGATTCCGGCGTGGGGAGCGGGGGCAGAGGGGAGCTGGGGAGGAAGGAAAAGCAGGCCAAGGGTCTTCAGGACTCAAGTCTGCAACTGTCCTGAGCTCTTGTGGGGGGCTCCATCCTCCCCGGCTGTACCTATCCCGCAGCACCTGTGCGGCTAGGGCTCTCCCCAAGTGTGCAGAAAGAAACACCCTGGGCGATAGGGTCCGGAGTGTCTCGGACCTCCCCTGCGGGCCCCGCGGGCGCCACTCTGTCTTCGCACCTGCCCGGAGCCAGGCGGGTCTTTGCTCCTTCCCGCGAAAGGGGTTTGCCTTGCCTGCGCCCCAGGAAGCGACCCCGACCAGCCGCCCGGCAAGGCAGGCCGCCCGACGCTCCGGGACCCCCCGCTAGCGCGACCGAGAGCCCGCGCCAGAGTCCTCGAGCTGGCCCGGCGTCGAGGCCCGGCAGTGCGGCGCTGACAGCCCGCTTCGCGCCCCCCGCCAGCTGCAGGGCGGCCCCTCCTGAGCCCCGCGCCTCCCGCGCGCACCGCGTCCCAGCGGGGCCCTCACCGAGAAGCGCTCCAGGTCGGTGGCCGCCATGGCGAGCTCCGCACCGGGCGGGCGGGCTGGGACCAGCGCAGGGGCCGCGACGGGGACCAGCCGGCTGCGGGACGCGCTCCGCCCGGGCGGCTGCGGCTGAATGGATCCAATATGGCCACTTCCTGGAAACTCCCCTTGGCGGCGGCGGCGGGAGAAGCCGCGGAGCCGCCCCTGCCCCCGCCCGCGGGACCGGCCTCCCTGCCCGGCCCGGCCACGAGCGCAGCCGGAGCCCCGCCGCTTGGACGGCCGGGGGTCTCCGCGGCGAGGCGGGAGGTGCCAGCTGCGGGGACTGCTGGGACTTGTAGTCCGCGCGTTGGGGAACCGGGACGGCAGTGTCGGGGGGCTCGGGGCCGGGGCCCGGCGGGCCGCTGCGTGTCCCTGGGAGCCTAGGGCAGAGCCGGGGTGGGAGTCTCCTGGGTCTGCGCGCTGAGAAGCTTTTCCCGTGAGAGGGAAGTGGGGCACGGCGTGTGCCCTAGAGGTCTCCCCCACCAAGCCGTCTCCACCCGCTGGCGCCTGCAAATGTGCTGGGATCACCAGCCAGAGTGTGGACGAGCTGCGGGCGGCCCGTCGGATCCGGGAGAGGCCGCAGCAGCCTAGTCTGTGGGTGTCTTGGGCCCCACCTGATGCTCCGGCCGGAGCTACGGCGGGAACCCGGGCGGGACCCGCGCGTCCGGCCAGGCGGCCTTCCCGGGCAAGGCACTAGCCTTGGGCTGCTTGTGCAACCAACGAGCAGGATGCGCAGTTTAGTCTGGGATTCGTGCAATAGAAAAGCGGAGCTCGACGGTCAAGGCATCAGATTACAAATGTCCATCGCCCTGCCTGTCCCAAGGGCTTGGGACAACGTCTTAATGGAGTCCCACCATTGTGCGAAGAGGCCGACCGCTCCCAATGGGTGCACGTTCTCTCCGCTAATGTCACTGCTCAAAACGTTCAGAAAATTAACACTTAACGCCAGGGTCGGAGACCTCAGGGGGTTCTGTATCCTTCTTACTGACAATCCATACAAAAGCAGCTCCCAAATCTTCTGAAATCCGGTTTCTTTCTCTTCCCTCTGCCTTTCTCTCTGCTCTCTCTGGGAATATGGCAAGGTTTACCCCCTACCCCCCACTGGCCTAATCCCAGGTTGGTCCACCCTCCACACACACCCCTCACCCCCGTGTGCTGAGAAGCAACCTGACCTGTTTCTCCGACTCAGAAACTTATGCTGGCTGGAGGTGCCTAAAGACCACGTTTGACTTGGCACACCTGGCTTAAGAGGAGCCCCCGCTCTGCTGTTTGACCTTGTCACCCTGATTTGGCTTTCCCCTCCTCACCCTCCCAGGCAAAGTGTAGCTTGTCCCCAACGTGTACTGGCTTCCCGCTGGACCTTCCTGACAATGTTTTCATTTTGCTCCTCTCTCTATGCTGCTGTTTTCCATGCTGTATTAAAGTTAGCCACACGGAATAGGGCAGAGCAGTGGTTAGGGAAGCTGGATCTATGGCAAATCTTCCTGGTTGGAATCCTGCTAGCTTTTTAACCTTAGCTAGGCAAGTTACTTAACTATGGCTCCCTTCCCTGGTCCTAAAAAGAGAACAAGTTTAGCACCTATGTTACAGGATTAAATAACATAAGTAAAGGGCTTTAAATTGTACTTAAAATATAGTGTTAAATAAAATCTCCCTCTCTAGACTATAAGGGCCTTAATGTCAGAGCCCAGAGAGCGTGTTGTCAATACTGAATTGATCATCCTAGATGTTTCTACTGTTGCCTTTTTCTTTTCCTATAACTAACAAGAAATCACGACCAACTGCCATCTGTATGGCAGTTCTGCATTACAACACTCTGGGACTAGCCCTAAATTATCTTTAAAATGGTCTTTTATCTCTAATTGGGAATATTTCAAAACATGTACTTCTCACAGTCCTGGCCAGTGGCTATGAGAAGGAAAAGCTCAGACTACAGGTGACTTCCTTCTCTTGGAATATATTCACTGTACTCTGTAGGAGTAAACAGGAGAATTTCCTCCTATTCCACAATGCTGAAATTTCTCATTTTATGCTGCTGCTGGTCAGAACTTATAAAAGAGTGAGAATTATCTATGAGGGTTCAAAAGGTGAATATAATGATCGTTTCTCAAATGGCAAAGTGTTATTTCTTATGGCAGCATTTCTGAGTGTTTCATATACACCTAGAGGTTAGTTCATAGATTTTTACCACAAAAAGATTGGTCCCAACGCCAAATAACTGGGGAATGCTGAGTTCCACACACAGACAGAGTTCTGTAGAAGTCCTCAGAGCTTTTGATAAGCTAATATGCATTTTCTGGGCAAAAGAAAGGGGAATATACAGCTCTCCCCACACTTTGTTGCCCCCCCCCCCCCCCCCGTCTCTACCTTGCATACACACCCAGCACCACACTGAACTTGAACATGACAAGACTTCGCTTCAGGAAATGCTGCCCTCCAGGCCTCTTGCTTGTCTTTTACTTTTGTTACTTTTGTTTATACTTTCTTTTGTCATGTAGAAGTTTAAATTTTTGATGTTGTCAAATGTATTTGTTATTTTATTTATTGTTTTTACTTTGGCTTCTAAAAATAAAGACCCTTCCCTAACTTCACACAGATATAATGTTTGTGAGAAGAGAATAATTTTTCTTGTAAAACTTTTTTTTTAACTCCTTCACGTCTAGGCGATTTGTGTATGTGTATGCCAAACCAGTTGTTTCATCTTTCCCCTCTGTTGTACAATGCAAATGGTATCACAGACGACATTTCTGTATGTGTGTGCAGGTCGTGCATCAGTTAGGATGACATTCAGCTGCTTCAACAAGATAGAAATGTCTTCCTTTCTGACATTGTCCAGGTAGGTAGTCTAGGGCTTATGCGACTCTCTACACACACTTTCTTCTTGTTGCTTGGCCTTATGTGGTCTTGCTCTCATGGTCCAATATGGTAATATCTGCATTTCAGGCAGCAAGAGGCAATGATAGTAATACAGTGCAAATGAGCCAACTCTCAGAGGATTCCAGAAGCTGCCATGTGGCACTTCTGCTTACATGCTATTGGCCAGAGCTGGGAAATTGACTCTTTATTCTGGCTATCATGTGCACAGCTAAAAAGTCTATAAAATGGATCGTGCCACTGCACTCCAGCCTGGGCAACAGAGCAAGACTCTGTCTCAAAAAAAAAAAAAAAAAAGGTCTATAAAATGTTAGACGAGAGCAGATGTTGGGAGGCTGCAGCCATCTCTGCCAAGTCTGTTTCTGGACTATCCGTTCCAGTGAGATGCCTGAAAATCTTTTTTTCTAATACTTTGAATTTTTTGTTTATTAGAAAATTAAAATATAAAAAACGACAAGCAGCCAGGCGCAGTGGCTCACGCCTGTAATCCCAGCACTTTGGGAGGCCGAGGCGGGCGGATCACGAGGTCAGGATATCGAGACCATCCTGGTTAACACGGTGAAACCCCATCTCTACTAAAAATACAAAATATCAGCCGGGAGTGGTGGCGGGCGCCTGTAGTCCCAGCTACTCAGGAGACTGAGGCAGGAGAATGGTGTGAACCCGGGAGGCAGAGCTTGCAGTGAGCCGAGATTGCACCACTGCATTCCAGCCTGGGCTACAGAGCGAGACTCCATCTCAAAAAAAAAAGACAAGCAAGAAAATAATCAGCCATACACCACCAGAATCAGCCACAGATAATTTCTTAGCCTTCCACCCCTTTTAAAGAAAAATTGCATGTTTTTAAGTGATATATGTACATTTTAAATAATTTGAACAATACAGAGAAGTTTAAATTATCCCAATCCCACCACCCAGAAATCACCATCATGAGCACTATATTTATATCATTCCAGAAAACTTTCTATGTATATTTACTGATAGGAGGAAAGATAATAGAGAAACTTTATAGGAATCTGGGCCATAATACAGATGCTATTTAAATTAAAAGTATTTAATTTTACTTGAATTTAAAAGAAGAAAAAGAAGTTGAAACTGAAGAAAGAGTTGAACTTCAAAGAATATTTCTTGACCACAAGAGATATTACTTCCTAAAAGATACCTCTGAGGTTAAACAAAAATTGTAAAAAACACTGAGGTTAGAGTTATTTTCTTAAAATGCACATTTCAGTGACATATGAGTGTGTGAGTGTGTGTGTGTGTTCAGTGTGTTCATTGCTTTGAAAAATTAGCTCTCATGATTCTGTCCATTTCTGACCTGCTTCCTAAGTTTAGTTACATATTATTGTTACATTATCCATGTTTATAACACTCATATTCTGTTCTATAAACATAACTTCATAGTTAGTTGATAAATATTCTTAATTAAAATGAATTCAATGGTCATCGCTAGTCTTTTTACCAAGGCTTTTTTTCCATTTGCAAGTTCTTTATGTTTGTTCATCTCTTAATGGACTAAATTTAATAGTTAAGCTGTTTTTCCAGGAAGTATTTTTGACGTTTAAGAGTATCTGTCTGTGCCTTGATACTGGAACCATATCTTGGCTGGGGGTAATATCCTTGAGTCTCATCTTTCCCACTGAATGTGGTAGGTTTTGCCTCTTTTTCTTCTTGGAAGAAGCCTGAGGCCAGCCTGAATTTTCTTTTATAGGAGACTTTTTTTTTCTGCTTGAATGCCTAAAGAAATCACTCTTCATCATTTTTTTTTTTAGTTCAATAACTTAACTAAGACGTCTTAGTAGTAAACATTTCAAATCAAACTTTTCCGGAATATAGTGTGTTCTTTCAATCTACAGCTTTAGTTTTGAAATGTACTTGTTTGTTTCTCCATTAAAAGAATTATCTCTTGGTTCTGTTTCTGGTTTTTCTTCTTCAGGGATCTTAATTAATTTTTGTATCAGATCAGCTTTATCTGTCTTTCATTTCTACTAATTCTAATTGCTTTAATCTCTTTGCCTAGTTTAGTTGCCCTAATTCAGTAATTTGAGTTTCAATAGGGTCCATTCTCTTTCTTGTTAGTTCTAATTTGTCTATAATAATATGTTTTTAGTCCTCAACTTGTGGTCTTTCCATCCCATTCTTGTGTTCTAGCATCCTATTGTTGAGCCCCCACTTTAATAAATTCATATTCTTAAGTCATTCCATAATGTGAAGCAGTTGCAAGAAATTCCTTAAGATTTTTTTAGGGGTGGGGAGGAGCCCTCATCTTTCACTCTCTGTTTTCCCCCTTATTTATCATTAATATCTTGCTGCCACGTGTTTGCATCCATTTCTTTTCTTTCTGGTTTGGTGGCTCTGTCCAGACATTCTTTACGCCACTGTAACACAGCAGCAGGAAGAAAGACTTACTGATGTCTCCCCACTGTTTAAGACCCTATTTTTCCCTCTGAGCTAAGCAAAAGGCTGGGTATTTGGGTTCTCTATACTTTGTGGTAGTCTGGAGGGGAGAGCTGAGCTGAAGCAGCCTGCGGTCTTTGTTGGAATGCCTCAGCATGCTCCTGTCCTGAGAGCCTGTTTAATGTCCTGTACAGGCTCATACCACCTAATTGGGGCTGGAAAGCAGGACGCTATACACCTTTTCCAAGGAAGGGGCAGAACTCAGGGTCAGTTTCTCCATGGGGAGTGTTGTTCTGGAGACTTTATTTCCATCAGCCGAGTCAGCTCAGTGGCTCGTGCTCTCTACTTTCCCATCTCCCCCCAGCATGC